TCCCCCCTCCCCCAAACACACACACATACGCAAACACAAATCCATATATACATATATCAACACGCACAATATTCCCACATAAATCATTTGCAAATACTAGAACTGAGAGAAAACAAACCTGCAGCTGAGTGCTGATCAAAGATGTGATGCATGCCGCTGAAAGCATAGTTCTCTGACAGTGATTTACCCCCTGCCATGGCTCTACAGAAAGGAAGAGCATAATATGTGAGGCATAGTGGTGAAATCAGGCGCTCGTCAAAATAATGAAATCCGAGAGATCAGCATTTTTCGTCCAGTTTGGACATTTTTTTTCGAATTTTTGTTTTTCAGCTCAACACCTCATAAGTCCATTCAAAAACACTTTTAAGAGTGGATTTTAAGTAAAAACGTTGATTAAAGGCACAAAAATGTATATTTGCAGTTTCCAAGGACTCTTAAGATATGAAAGTCACCAAACTTTGGCAACCATTTTCTCGCTAATTGTACTTCTTAAACCAGGCGGCCCCACCTCCTTCAATCTCAAATATCTCGACTTGTATTCAAGATAAATGGATTTTTTTTTTTCATCGAAAGCAAGGCAAATGAATAACCTTTAAGATGATACCAATAACTTCATAGGCCCAAAAATTTACAAGTGCCTGATTCCACTGCATTGTGACACATTTTGTTTAAAAATCAATTTTGAGTTTTTTCTCAAATTTTGCACACTGCACTGTCCCACTAGATACGAATCAATGGAAATGTACGAGTATGTAACTTCAAAATGAAATTTGTACTTTGTTTTGTTTTTTAATGAGCATACTTATGGACACAAATGGGTCATTTCAAAGGCAGAGGACAAAGCCCATTGATTAAGGGAAAAGAAGACGATGCAACAAAATAAAATTATCATATATAAGAATATATATGTATATGCGTGCTATTCCAATTAGGAGAGACAGTATAAAACGAGTTAATGAAGGCTCACATCAACACCACACACTTACTTATAACATTCTATAGTTCTTTAGATGTCAAAAGAGAAGATGGAAATTTGAAAGAAGCAACTATATTCAAATAATTTGTTCTTATACGATTAACAGAATTATCCCTTCCAGCATGAGCAAAATTTGCAATCAATAAAGAAGCATCCATATAAAAAGTAAATTGATATCTCAGGACCATCTACATCCTACAAAATTTCTCAATTATTCGATGGCAACCTGACAATATGTGAGCCTTTGCAAATAGGTGGGAGTTTCTTCATATACCTCACAAAATCTGTTCCTATTCCAACAAAAATGAGGCTACAGCTTTGAAATTTGTATAGGTTAAGATTAATATGATTTTTCAGCTATGGGAGCTTTACAAAATAGCAGTCGAGCTGTCAGAAGAAATCTTACAAATATTTTTAGGTCTGAAATCAATATTTTCTAAGAATGCAAAACGTGATGCGTCGACTTCCTATGTCCTCTTTTGTCAAGTTCAACAATGAAATAAACGCAGAAAAACTCGTCCTTCAACACTTATACTACCATAACTACATTATTTGTGGTGCTATATCAGGAATAAAGATATCTGTAGCTTTTTTTTTTTTTTGAAGAGCCTACTAGATTTTCATTTTCGAGCATAACTCGTGGCATCATTTCAAAAGGCAACTTCAATTCCCTGTGACTTCGTTTCTTTCGGCCATTTTGGGGCCCTGGAATGAGCATAGTATTGTTCAATGTTTACTGATTCCGAGGCTGTGGCCAAGCGTAATTTTGTAGTAAAAGGAAATCCCGCAACGCCTCATGCTCTGTCATCATTCGTTAAAATGCTCGAAACAACCAATCATAAAACAAATAATAATAGGGGTGGAGGAACGGGCATTGTTCCTGTCAATCCATTCAAAGTCTATTGTAGTGTGATGCAAGACGACAAGAAGAATAATGATGGGTGAGATGAATTCATTCAAGTTTTCTTATGTCATCATCAAATCTTAGCCTGTTATGTTCGAAAAAAACTGTTATGTCCGAAAAATGTTTCCCCTCATTTAATTAAATTTAAAACAAGTTATGTTTAACATCGCACTGCATTCCAATGGTCAATTAGTGGTAGATCTAGATGCGACCACGCATGCTTGGCTAGGTCAACGAGAGGGGGAAATTTGATGTAAATTTACGATAAGTTCCAAAACGATGACAAGCACGGTTATGTTCGAAAGATATTTGATCATTTCCATAGATTCATAGTAAATTGTGAATAAAGTGGCATTTTTTATTAATTAGCGTGCATTATGAGTCAAACTGAATCTCCTAAATCTTTGTTTGCCAAAATTCTCAAAAAAGAAATTAAGATATGAATTTGGAAAGTTTTTCATTTCTTTTGTACATAACTATGACGACACAAATGCGAATACAATGACATTTCGCATTTCTTTTTTCTGTGATCCTCACAATTTTATATGCTCTTCATGCTTATATGTTTGAAAATCAAAGCAATGAGAAAACTTAAAATAATTTCCATATTTATTACTTTTCAGGGTACTTTTCATTTAGTGTCATCATGAATATGTTCGAAAAATATTTCATATTTCGCACAGATTTATACTAAAATATGAACAAAGTGGCATTTTTTCATCATTATCATGTATTGTGAGTGAAATTGAATCTCCTGAATCTTTGTTTGCAAAAATTTTCAAAAAAGAAACTAAGATATGAAAATGGAAAGGTTTTCATTTGTTTTGGACATAACTATGAGGACACAAATGCAAGTACAACGAAATTCAGAATTTCTTTTTTCTGTGGTTCTCAACATTTTATATGCTCTTCATGCTTAAGTTTGAAAATTAAAGCAATAAGAAAACTATTTAAAAAATTTTGTTTGTTCAAATTCTAAAAAATGTGTCATCATAGTTATGCCTGAAAGAATTTGACTTGACGTTATGTAACGCCGGTTACACAGCTTAGAATACCATCAGTAGGTCTGTAAATACATGTTTTCGTAGCAGTAGATATACATGAATAGAAAAATTCAAGTAAAAACGAAATATTAAAAACTTAATAATCAACTCTCTGTGTTACATTTTAGGTTCATACAGCAATATCAGGCCCATATGGCAGAACACTTTCCTAGTCACAGATCAAACATACCTAATCTAAACAAGCTAGAATGTCCATAAATTTTAAGGATTAATGTCCAAGAAAACAAAGAAGGTGGAACATACAAAATTTAAGGATTACTGGATATACCCGTAGAAGTGGCACTCTTAGTCATGAAAGTGAGAAATCACTTACTTGCTAGCCTCAGCAACACTGGTGGGCACCACTTCGATACTGTCATAAACATGTTTCATAGGACCTTCATACAGGTACTTTAGAGAACTGTTGCTCATATGTCGACGGTGATGATATTTTCGATTGTCACTGCCACCGACAGTCATAGACTCCAAACTCTGAGAACAATGAATAAAAATAAATTTTGACTAACAAACTACTGAACATCTTTGTCTATCCATTCTCTTCTTCTAGTTCATAAAGCAAAAATGACCAGACAATTGTGCGTAAATGAACGTTTCCATCTATCAGTGAATATGTAAAGGGTCAGAATTGTGAAGAATTAATACCATAATATAAACTTGAGCATAAACCACTGATATTTAAAACAATAATTAAGTAGGCATTTTTGACACACAGTTAAGTGTCTCCATGTATGAAGACTTATATTGCCAAAATCAAAATTAAAATGATATACAAAATAAAGCAGTATTGTGAATATGTGAATTAAGAGGGAATCTCGCATTGCCAGAACATGTGAGCAAAAGGCCTTTCATTATCCAGTGAACTCTCCATACCAGCAACTGTACCACACCTGAGAAAAAGCTGACAACTTGAAAGAACAGCAGTGTTGATCAAGAGTCACATTAAGGATTTTTTTCCTTGCTTTTTTCTACTTCAAATGCAAGGAAGCTCTACCTAGTAATACCACATGCCACGCACCAACAGTGCGAAAATGCGGTTGACTTTCCCCCAGCCAGGTGTAACACCGGAACATGCTAATTCATAGCACTTTTTTTTCGCCAGCCCCATATAACATATATATCAATACGTAATACTTTCAGCGACAGTCAAGTTTTTATCGAAGAAAGAGGATATGTCAGTAACAAATCCCAAACCTGCCAAATGACACCGTGATTTTCGGACTCTTCTTATACATCTCTTACTACCCAAACTTCCCCAAATTTGGCAACCAATGAGAAGAATGATGGATCTTTCCATCGTGGATTTCTGTTTTTTAATCGAGCCAGAAACAAGAAAGTTCCAAAGTGGTTTGTTTGAGGACGTTCTCAAAAATGTGTATATTCAATTGATCCGCGGAATGCTCCTGCATCAACTCAGATAGGTTGAACCTTATAATATTAACAGCTATATTGTGAAATTCCCCGTAACACCATCGCATTTTAAAAAATACAACATCCACGTCGTTCTTGTTTTTCGGGTGGTCCGAAAGCCAGAAAGGGAAACACTGTTGCACACGAAAAAAACTTGCCACCAGCTAGCCGTGTAATCATGGCTGCGTAAAGCATAGCTGCTGATCAGACAGTTATTTTAATCGACCTGAATACCAAGGGAAACACCATACTAATGAACTAGGACTACGATGTAGCGAAGGTCCCTTGAAATGTGCCGTCACAAATTATGATTGGAATTAATGGGCGCATTGCAATTCGCCCCCCAAGACGTCACAACCCTATCTGCAGAAAGTTTGATCCTTAACTCGCCCCCCCTTTTGTAATGGACTAGTCTAAAAATGGCAGAAGTAGGGTATCGAAACTGGTAAATGATCATTCACATCTCTGAGCATTGCGTGCGTGTGTGTTCTTTTAAAGTACAATGTTATAGTTATCCCTGCTCACCATGGGGAGGTAGGAATGGGACTTCAAACAGGGTAGATCTATATATATAATTATCATTTTATGTTGAATATCAATGATTAAAATTGGATAAGAATCAGTGAGGGCTGAGATAAAACATTTTAACTCTTTATCTCCGCATGGGGGTAAACCCACTATGCCAAGGCCCATTTTTGGTTTCAAATCTAAAACGTCACTAAATTGGTCTTGTAATCAAAAGAAGTGAACCTATTTCGATAGTTCATCTAATGAATGAAATTCCGATAAAAGAGACTTGTTTTCGGCAATTGCCGAAAAGCAATTTAGTGTCGAAATTGTCATAAAGGAATGTGCCCGAGCTGCTGCCAGTGGCTAACCGGCACAGCAGTTCCGACCGCAAGCCGTTGGGAGCGGCTTGCCGGAGAAAAATAGTTAATGCAACAATTAGGCTATTTAACCTAAAAACAACATGAGTTTTAAAAATTTCTGTTACAAATTCGAACTCATGTAGTTTGCTGTCCAGTCAATTGATATCGCAACGATGGTTATAGTGTCGTAGTTAGTCTAGCACGTTGTCTCTGGTTGACATCATATTAATTACAGAATTACCAGACAAATACTGACATTGTGCTATGAGAGTAAATTTCTCCGTCCAACTTAAGAAGTTATCGTATTGTGGCGATACCCAGTCTTGCTTTACAATTTCTTTATGACTTGATGTTACGATCTTTTATATCAATATCTGGCAAATTCAAACTGTCCTTGTCTCTTCTTATTTGTATGAAACAACAACTCTCTCTCTCTCTGTCTCCCTCCTCTCTCTTTCTCTCTGTCTCTCTCTGTGTCTCTCTCTCTCACTGTATTCAGAGTATTCAATGTCTCTGCAGCTGCCAAATTTAACCCCATATCGATACCGACGGGGAAGGGGGACGAGTTCATGATCAGCTTCCCTGACTGGTGACGTATTTCAGGGGGGGGGGGGCGAATTCAAGGAACCCCAAATTAATTTTGGTTTTACGGGATATTAGTGCTGTTATGGACTTCAAGATAACTGCATATTATATCCTTCGAGTATTTACTGTGTTTTTGAAGATTACTTAGAGTTAAGGTTCATTTCCAGGGATTTATGCACACAATTTAGACCTACATATTCATAACGATAAAGCAGAATAACAACAATAATTACAGAATATACACACAATAAAGCTACATGAATGCAATATTGTAGTTCTAAGGCATATTTTCATCGTGGGGATGGGGGGGGGGGAGGAACATATCCTCTAGGCTCAAATATCTCTGTAACTGAGCCTGTGGGAAATTGGTTATGCGCCTAATCAAGATGAGTTGATGATATAATCAAACATTCAAAACCTTTTTTTCCCCTTTTCAAACATAAATTTATACATCTACATATAACTGTTATAATAGAATGGACATGTGTATATCCACAAGCCATGTTTGTTTCTTCATTGAAGTAGCAATCTGCATATGGCTTTCTGGGTACAACATTGATTCGTTCATTTCCAATTTTGCTGCCCCCCCCCCAAAAAAAAAAAACCCCAACCAAAACCCCTCTAATTTTCAGCTCATTCCGTCCATAAATCTAGTAATAAGTCTAGTAATATGTTGTTCAATATTTCTGTTTCGCTTTTTCTTCTTTATTCCTTTATAGTGAATTTTCTCCAAAATACCCACAGTTTATAACATGTTCACAGCCATAACTTTGTTATTTATTTACCGATTTTGAAAAAGTAAAAAGCATTTTGCTATAGAAATATTGATCTTTACATCTGTGTTACTTATAAGTTTGTGGTACCTATATTTCAAAAAGATGTACTGCTACTCTACCAAATCAAATCATGAATAGTATATCTTGGGCCAATCGTTACATTTACAGTCAAACCTGTGTAAGACGGCCACCCATTGTCAAGGGGAAAAGTGGTCGTATAAGACAGGTGGCCGTCTTAGGCAGGACTGATCAAGATGAAGAAAACAAACCCCATTCCCAATTGAAAGTAGCCGCATTATTGTTGTTTTTGTTGTTGTTATTGGCAGAGCTGGTTGTAACGGAGTACACGTACTCCGGTACTTGTACTTACGTTACAATTTTCGGTACTTTTACTGTACTCCGGTACATTTTTTAAACCAGTACTTTTACTGTACTCCAATGCTTTTTATAAAAGTACTTTTGAGTATTTTTAAAGTACATTTTGAGTACATTGGAAGCTTAATGAAAGGGTAAGTGCCGGCATTTCTGATCATAATTTACGGGAACAAACACCCGGGCGGGCACAGCCGATCAACCTAGAGTTAAAAGTTGAGATCTAAGAACGGCCCGTCGCGTCAAAGATCAGCCACTATCGTGAATGTTGTGATCACAAGCGTTGTAAAACTCCATGAAACGGTACAGTGTTTGCTCCAGACGGGATCACACCAAGGTGTGAACTGACCGATGCGTTTCTTTTACGGGTTCTTTTCCCCAAACATCGCACTCGCATCTGAGCTCACCACCTAAACTTACATCACTCACTGGGTGGGTAGGGCCTACAAGTTCACTCCAAGCGGGATCTCATCAAACTGCGAACTCTTCCCTGACCATCGAAAGCAGTTTTTCTCTATTCCCGAATTTGCGAGGGAGCCTGCATTATAATTGGTGTGGTCACAACGTAATGGTGCGTAACGAAAAAGGCGGTTTGTTTGGGGGGGGGGCTCAATCAGAGATGTAAAGCTAAAATTGTTGGACAGGTGAAGGGGAGGGGCAACTGGATAAACGTAGATAAAGATTTCAAGACTCACGATAGACTAATGAGTGTGTATATATTATTTATGGCATGCCTCATGCCACTGTGATTGGTCATCAAGGTTGACCACTCTTTGCTTGCCAAATGTCATAAATCCACCCAGGGGTCACGTCAGTTCATAGGCCACTGTGGCTTCTTCCTTGGCTTCGTCAGCTAAGATCCCATATTTTTCTTGCTTCCGAGCACTGGGATCTTAGGCGGTGACTACTGAATCTTTGGTTACACTACACTTACTAGACTCTAGGAAACTATTGTATTTTGGTTTGCCGTGAGCGCCGTGAACTACACAGTGTGACCAAAATCTCTTACAACTATAATCAATTGAAACTGAAACTGTGTTCTCAATGTGTATCTAACAATTTTTTAGGCTGCCTTAATTTCTTTTAAACTTTTTTTTTTTCTGGTGGTTTTTGCTAAGGGCTACATTGATCCCTTGAGGATTTGTTAATGAAGAATTCAATGCACTTTTCCATTTCTATGCTGGCTATTTTCTTCAATTTTATGTTTTCTTAAGAGAAACTTTGTATCTACATTTTTCAATTTGGATACTTTTTCTGTAGAACTTTCCGACCTCTTGGACTGACTTACATTTGATCACATTGTCTTGCTCAAACAAGTTCTATTCATAATATCACTTACCCACTAGTTGCTTCTGTTCGTTTGGGTTGGGTTTTTTTCAATTTCACGGGCCATTTCCACCTTCGTTCAGTGCGTACATTGAATATATTCAAATGCTTTATATACTGTTTACATTTTAGTAATAAATAGCCTAATTTGTAAAATATACTGGATATGTTATTTAATATTATGTTTTGCATTAGCGCTGAAGTGTTTTAGCATATTAGCAGAAAGTACTCAAAATGTACTCGTAAGAACCTTTTTAAAAAGTACTTGTACTCAAGTACATTTTACAGGAAAGTACTTTTACTGTACTTAAGTACATTTTTTAGATTGTAATTAAATTTATACTTAAGTACTTTTAAAAAAGTACTTTAACAGCTCTGGTTATTGGTTTGTATTTTGTTTGTTATTTTTATTTTGTTGCTGATTTTGTGCAAGGGTAACAATAAAACGAAATGTGTCAGACAAGGAGGACCGAGTGCAATGGTAAAACAAACATATTATGGGTCGCCACCACTTGAAGAACGATCAACGCTTCTGTCACAAGTTCATGTTGACGTCCATTGTTACTTTTTTACAGACTGGGTAAACAGTGACCACTCATCTCACTTACGATTTGTATATGAGTTCTGGGCGGGGCTTATGGGTTATGAGGGATCACACGCTTACCTCACCAGCAGCTGGAAATTGGTACCTATTGGTCAACAGTGGGAGGGGCCAACGCAACATGATCGGTTGGAGGGACTACCTAATAACAATGACAGGTGATTAGATTATGACGGCTCGCCCACAACGCCAGGGGTCAATGCACAATTAATGACAAAACGTAATGGAGTCACTAAGGTGGCCGTCTAAGACAGGTGTTTTTGCTTAGTGTGATAGGGGTTGTGTGTTGAAATAAGGTGGTCGCGGCCGCGTTGGACAGGTGCCCGTTTTACACAGTTAAATTATATAGAAAAAACGCAAGGGGGGAAATGGAAAGTGGCCGTTTGTACAGGTGGCCGTCTTATAGAGGTGGCCGTCAGGGCAGGTTCGACTGTATATTACCTCTGTATTCCTCCCAATGCTTCTTAAGCTGAATGACCTGCTCTTGATGCTCCTGTGAAAGCAAAAAGAAAATGATCATACAAATATAATATGATATATAATATCAGTCTATTCCTCTCGTCACTAAGTAATCAGAGTAAGAAGAAAAAAGACAAAGCATTAGAAGCACAGGGTCAAACTGATACAAACTAAGATACTGACAAAAGTTTCAAGCAACAGTAGAATAAAACATCACAAAATCTGAGGTATTTACAATAACTATTGATAAAACTTGTTATTTTTAGAATCTTATTCATTAATGAATGGGACATAGAAATGGAACCTAGAATCTATAAGAGATCCCGATGATGTTAAGAAGGAATGTAAGGGAAGATCTTTAAATCAGGAAGGTATTCAAAAATGATATCTATAGAGAGCTATTGTTTTCTGTGTTAAATTTCATAACTCAGAGTGAAATTTCTTATTTTTTTACGAAGGGCATACCAAAAGTTTTTTACCTGACCATAAAGGAATAAAGTGAAAAGAGATAGCCAGCGAAGTGGATGGGGATTTGTTGCATTCAACAACAATAAAATCATGCACAGTGCATCTGGAGCCTGCAGCAGGGCTACATCAAGTATACGAATGGAAATTGAAGCCATCATGAAAGCAGCTGATTGGATGACCTAAGACCGCCCCCACACAAACCATGCTGTTTTTATCACGGATTCCATGTGTACCCTCAGAAGGAACGAAAAAGGTTTCCTGAGAACAGAATGGATTCAAGTTATCGAAGCAACGCCTATACGATCGCTCATATGGATTTTCTGCCCTGGCCATGCAGGTGTTACGGAAAATGAAAAAGCCGACAGACTGGCTGGTGAGGCCACCTCATTTGACAGCACGGTTCAACCAGATAGGGTCAAAATCCTGAAATGTCTCTCTTGCCAGCTGATTGAGGAAGAAGATAGGGAGGCAGAGGCCAGTACTGCCGTGGAGAGGATGATGCTTTTGGGAATAAAAAAAGGAAGTGGAAAATCTGGCATCCTTGTAGGAAAGAACAGAAGAACGTTCAACCAGATATGCACTGGCACAATCAGTGGAAAGACCCTCAGCGACATTTTGGAGAGAGCAACAGAGCATCAATGGACACGTCCGGAGCGCAGGGATGTTGCTTCCTGAAATAAAGAACAATGAATGAAGGAATAAAGGTAGAAAGCTGAAATTTGGTACTGCCTTTAATCTTTCTGTATGTAGTCGCCTCCCACAGTTATACATTTTTGCTATCGGTTTATGACCTTGAAAAGACCCTGAGAATAGAACATCCTCTCTTTGTCAGAAAACCAGCCCTCTACCACGTCTTTGACCTCATCATCATTTTCAAAATGCCTTCCTTTTAAATCCTTTTTTCAGTTTTGGGAATTTAAAAAAGTCAAACGAGGCTAAATCTAGAGAATAAGGTGGATGTGGGAAAATTTCATAGCCACTTTCTCGTGCAGTTTCTGCAGCTTTTCTTGAAGTGCGTGCAGGCGCGTTGCCGTGAAGCAGCAAAATACCTTTTCGGATCTTTCCTCTGTGTTTTTCTTTTATAGCCTCTCGTAATTTTTTTTAGCTGGTTAGAATAACAGTCTCCAGTGATCATATGTCCATTTTCAAGATGACTATCATAATCACTCCTTCTTGGTCCCAAAAAAACTGATAGCATCACTTTTTCCACTTCATTGCTGCACCTTTGCCTTCTTTGATGTTGGAGACAAGGTCATTTCCACTGCATTGAAAGATTTTGACTCAGGATCATAGTGGTGGACCCATGTCTCATCCATGGTTAAACAACATACCCCTATTCACTTACAGTGTGCCGGTGTTATAACCAATAATCAGAAATTCCACAAAATTTACAAGCATTCTGGGAAGATGATTGTTAACTTTCACCCTAAATTTCAGCTTTCTAACTTTTTATGGTCAGGTTAAAAACTTTTTGTATGCCCCTCATACTTTTAAGCATTATCATTGGAATTTCTCATTAACTTCTATGCATTACCATTCTTATATAGATTTCTAAAATTTCAATTTCCAATTACCAACATCTGACAACAACTAATATCATGACAAAAAAACAGGGGGCAAAAAACAACAATTTGTTCTCTTCATATGCCTCTTTGAACAGCAATAATATTTTATCTAACGTACCTTAAAACAGACTTAAAATCTTTGTTCTTTTCTTCTTCCTTTCTTTTTGTGTTTCCCTGTTACAGTTCAGCCAATAGTAAGTCCATCAAATTAGCCCAAGGCGCAACTCATGTTAGATACATAGACGTTTTTTCTTACCAAAGAATAAGATATAAGAGGGTACCTTTCAAGCAGCCATTTCTAGAGGAGAAGCACATCTTTATTTGAATCTGAACAGTCAAAGTGTTAAGATCTAAGAGATCTTTCACATTTATCTGAAAATACCAGGAGCTCAATCCTACACACCCATGTTTTGAAAACACCAATGAAATGAATACCTCTATATCAATCACCAGTGCTACCTTACAACCTCGAAACTGAAGCAGCTATCTAACAACAGAGGCAAGAGTGTTTTTTTACGCTAGAAAGCCCCCAAACCCATCCCCATCACTCTCCTAGTCTGAGTGTGAGCATATGAATCGGTGCATAGCTGCATGCCAGGCATGCTCATAAATGCTCTGCTCTCCACCATAGCTACCACTTTACAAGGAGATGACTTAACCGATGACAATGCAAATGACTCCCTCACCCCCCCCCCCCCCAACCCCCACCTACTGCACCCTATTAACTGGCCATACTTGCAAGTCAAAATTAGAATTTTCCCTGGAAAAACCTTCACTGTAAACTGATAATACAATATATTTAGTTTGAAATCAGAAAGAGGTTATTTTCAAAATGCTTCATAAGAGAACATCATACCCTTGGTCTGAAAAGGACGGACTTCCATAACGGGAACTAAGAAGCTGAGCACGCAGATGAAGGTACTCTTTCCTTGAAGATCCATCTTTCTGTTAAAGACAAAATCTTATGCAAATAAATGCAAAAATTTTATTAAAGCAGATAGAAATCTGCATTCACAATGAGAAAGGAGATATCCAGGTAAAAATGTAATTGAAACTAATTTAGTAACTTCAAGTTATATACATGAGAAAACAAAAACAAAAACAGACGCTTAAGATACTTTCATTGGTGTCATCTAAGTCACTACCAGAAAACCCATTTAAAAAAGCTATATGCTTAGATTACAACTCTTTTTACAGAACTTGAATATCAACACAAAAAAGCCACTGAAAATCTTCATTTCAAAATGGTGCAACTCGCTTCTGCCTACCTCATCAATCATTTTTTAAATTGTCAACTTTATTCACTCATCTGTAAGAGTGTAAGACTAACATACACGAAATATGCCGAAAATGTTGAAAGGACATTAAGTTTCTTTTTTTTTTTTACTTTTGTAAAATGATGAGAAATCAGTGCTACCTCATTCTTAGCATGTTCTCTCAAAAGTTGACTCCTTCGTCGTATGTACAAGGTGCCTGAAAGAGAATAATTTTAAAGATAGATTTTTAAAGACAAAAATCTTAATCTCATGGGATAAAGATCAATCAAAGTAAAAAAAAGTGGAAAAAACTATTATCTGCATACAATCCACTCACATTCTATAGTTGTAGGCCTAACCTTTAAAGATTTGCACACTGTCAAATACAATAGGAGTACAAGTACATTTACCTCACTTCTTTCAAAAGTTACCACTTGACCTACAAACCTATTTTCGACTATCTTGAGGCCACATTTAGTGTCAGTGCAAATTTGTGTAAACATTTTATGCCCCCTATTGATACAAATCAGATAATTATCTAGAAAACAAGCAGCTTCCAGCCCATCTGGCCTGTCAAAAATGAATCAACATTATAACATAATACAGAAACAAAGTATGGTAGGCCTGCCATCATCACTGAAACATCTTTTTGGTAGCCATTTCATCAAAACAAAACAAAATTATTCTAAAGTAAATGCCTAAAAAGCTAAGAAATGGCACAAAATTAGTAAAACTGTCATAATAAGCAGTGTCTATAAAACCCAGGTGAAAATTGTTCCTGTGACTCACAAACATGTTATACATCACACATGTACTTGACTATTACTACTACACTGAGAAACATCCCATACCCCAAATGTCATTAATTTTAAAACTATCAAAGACAAAAGGTGGCTGCAGTTTGATCAAACATAATAAATTGAACTATCACTATCATTAGAAATTTCATCCAGGTTGTGGGTTTTTTTGGCTGCTGAACAGAAAAATTGTTAATTCTTTCCTAAAGTTTTGGCAAAGAATTATACTTATTTTTCTTATCAATACAACACAAAGACCACGACAAAATGTAAGAAAAGATAAGACAAGATGATACTTTATTGTCCCTCGGTGGAAATTTTTCTTGGCTCTGTACAGGAATGGTAAAAACATACTTAGATAAACATAAAATTTACATTACTTTCATAAAAATTCAATAAATGAATAGAAAAGTAAAGGTAACAAAAATACACATAGATGCATCTTTCAACCACATGCAGGAATTTTTCACAGACCTTTATATTTAAATGATATTAATACACACATTTTTATTTTGACAGCAGCCTTGTTCCAGATAGAAAGAAACTTCTTTTGTGTCTTCCTTTGTTTGTTCTTAATGGTACGTATCTGCCACGACTTGATTTTCACAAATTGTGTGAAGAGGGGTGTGATCAGTCATTTATAATGCTGTTGATCTTTTTTTTTTTACTCGTTATCTTATATATTTCATCAGTTCTCTGTTAAAATCATATCCATAGATCTAATTGGCTTTCTTTATGATTCGGTCAAATTTTTCTTTGTCTTGCACCTTAAAGTTTCCAGCCCAACAGCAAATACAAAACAGCAACATGTTTTCGATCATGAAATGGTCAAAGTAAAAAAAGGGACATAATCTTATAATCAACATGAAAATTCCTTAATTTTCTTAAAAAGAATATTCTTTGATTTAAATTTTTATGCACAAGAGCAGCGAGGTAGTAAAAGGAAGCGCTTATCACATCAATTTTTGTAAATAGACCTATATACAGCGTCCCTTCTATTCATTCTCATTTGTTGTTATAAGACCCTGGAGAGAGGAATCATCCTCAAATTTTATTAGTTTGGTGTTTTTGTTTTACTAAATTATGTACAGTATTTGGTGAATAGCATGAAAAAGACCTTGGGGCGCACGGGTGCTTGTGAATATTAGGTCATACTTTACACCATTTCATTTAATTTTACATCGGGTGATTGCTTAAGAACTCAAAAACTGAAAATTGTTAATATTCAAGTCAATTAATTTGAAATTATTAAAAGTGGGGTTGGATTGTGTTGAAGGCAGATGAAAAATCAGCAAAAGTATTCAACAGAAATTTTGTGGTGTGTGCGTTTACAGATATTATCTAAGAGCATGAGAATGGCATCTTCTTTGCCCTTCTAGGCACAATAGGAAAATTGCATGTTTTTTTGTTATTATAAATATTTTCTGTGGATGTCTTAAGTTCTTTCAGAACTTCTTATTCTAAGCATTTCATGAGGACTGATGTTAAAGCCACAGGTCTTGGATCATTCAAACAGATTTCTTTGAAAGATGCAAGAACTTCTTGTCTGATACGTCTACCTCAGTACCTGACTAAAGAGCAAATTCATCAATAAATGTCTTCTGCTACAGATAATTAGTATTATATATGGGCAAGCTAGTAATTTCCCCACAATGAAGAAAGATACCAGAAATATGCACTATACTATTCCGATCAAAAACAAATGTGAGGAGAGCCTATTCCTAAAAACAGCCAGACAAGACAGTGCTACTCATGGACTAACTTAGTATCGTATAGGATCACTGTAGAAGATACACTTTGATTTGACTTTCGACTTTTATTTAGTTTGAGAGAAATAACGGGGTGAAAACTGCATTGACACCAAACAACAATGTTAGGCGAAAATTCAAGGCCTGAGATTTTAAAAAAAAGAAGAAAAGTGTATGGAACAGAACGTTTAAAGAATGGCAATGCTTTCTATTCTGATATAATATAACAACATAAAGTGGATTTTTTAAAAGTTAAAAGTCAATAAAAATAAAAATGATCCACCAGTCAGTCACCTCAAATGATAAGATCGAGCCCATTTTAGCCTCAGAATAGTTAAGAGAGAGAATTTTACTCACTTTAAAAAACTTCGGTTCATTTAATTTCCCTCTCATCTTCACACTTTACTAGATCTAGATACAGTCGAACCTGCCTAAAACGGAAACCTGTATAAAACAAAAATGTCTTAACGGAATCTCCCTTTCCTGGGTAGCCAGAAGCCAGAGGTGTGAAATTAGTTTGACCAATACCTGCCGCCCTGATCGTACACCAGCCGAGAAAAGAGTTCCTCGAATCATTGTTACATGATGGCAGTGAGAGGTGGCATTGGTTGACTGTGCTTGTTACACCGATGGGTGGGGCTAAGGGTGGGGCTAAGGGTGGAAGCAAAAGAGATGTTCAAACGTTTCTGTATTTAATAGGTCAAACAGTGGTCCTATGAAAGGCAAGCACTGGTGGTAATTGGATAAGTATATAATATTATATAAGAGTGACGCATGTCATCATCAGACAGGATAGCAGTTGAGAGGTGTTAAGTTTTGACCACTGCTTGCCGATCGGGCTAGCAATCCTTGATCCGACCGGCTGGGCCTTTGAACCCCCCCATAAATTCCCCTGTTTAAGACAGAAAATCTAAGACGCATTTTTTTACTGGCTCTCTTGCGATTTCGTCTTCCACAGGTCTGACTGTATAGGGGTTATAGGAGGACCTTTTTTTAACCCATAATTTGATGTTTTGCAGTTAGGTTTGAAATTTTCTTGAAAATTACTGATTTGCAACAGTTTTAGTGTGTATGTGTGATCTCCAGCATAAAATGAGACATGAGTTTGACCCCCACAAAGCAGTGCATAGGCCTACTGTGTGTGGGAGAGAAAATAAAAATTTACCAAAACTTCAGGCACTGATTGGTCGCATAAGATGTATAAATAATAATAATAATAATATAACACACACACACACACACACACACACACACACACACACACACACACACACACACACACACACACACACACACACACACACAGAGAGAGAGAGAGAGAGAGAGAGAGAGAGAGAGAGAGACTTTTCATCCAGACATAGGAACAACTATAATGAAAAAGCCTCTCTCTCTCTCTCTCTCTCTCTCTCTCTCTCTCTCTCTCTTTTTTTTTTTTAAAAGACTCTGAAAAAGTCTCACGGAATTGCGGATTATTCGGTGATCTGTATGCATTGTACTTCGCATCAAGCGCAAGGACTTGTTGCCAAACAGCCATCGCCCATAGGCCCTATGCTAGCAGAGAGAGAGAGAAAACTGAAGAGTATCGCTTAGGTCCTTAACAAACAATAATGCCTGAAAATGAGCTGTGCAAACAAGTGTGCTCACTGTTTTTTAATGCAATTGAACTCATACATAATTCAATTATTACTAGGCTATTTCTTGATAACCTTTTGTGTATTTTGTACCAGATATTTACTTTATCTTGTATTAGTAGTGATACTTCCTTGTTTTTTATATTTTAAGGGACAAAGAACTACGCCTATTTTCGGTGTTACTATATTTAACGTGTGTCGGCCTATAAAACTTTTGACTGAGGCCATTTTTGTTGGGAATAGGAAAGTTTTCAGGTTCCATTCGAACCCAGCGTCTGAGATCGTGTCCTCCTAATTGTTGATAATCTTTCACAGTCAGCCATGCAGGCTATCAAGTGTGTGGTAGTCGGGGACGGGTAAGTTGCTTGTGTCACGTTATTTTGTGTCTTTATTGTCGAATTATCGTGAAAGCGACATCGACGGTTAATTTTCTAGGGCTCGACCCCGCAAAGTAAGACAGTTTTGACTACACTTTCCCTATCACATGCGAACATCTCTACAATATATCTAGACGGCCTGTTTGTTTTTGTCGCGCTTCGATTAGATCTAAATATTATATTTTACATGGTAAGAGGGGGGGGGGTGGTGGGGTAAGTTTGATTGAAACTGTCAATCTGTATCGTATCCCAGGATGAACGGTTTAACTGGTTTCTGAAATTCTTCCCCCATCATAGCTTGCTGTCCGTGTGTCGTGGTGTAGTGTTTCCCTCTTGCCACTTGACTTCCTTGTTCAGAACCATGAAGCAAGTTCTCTATGCGTTACAGTGACATTAAAATGTTGCATCCCATTTTGCTTAAATCCAGTATTATTGGGCTTGGCTGTTGGGGCAAGGATTTTAGTCAACAAGGAAATTAGATCTAGATTCTAGAGTAGATCTAGAATCTAGATCTAGATCTATTCAATTTTGTTTTTTTGAAAAAGTAACCAGCTCAGTATGGGTACAAAAAGTGACCCCACCAATTCAATAGAACTTTGAGTCATTTCACAGAAATTAAATGGAGTTGATAAACAAGTTGATGACAATGATTGAGAATGACAGAACAGTCAGTACAGTTTGGTATGCCAGGGAATGTCTGTAACCTTGTCCATACTCTTCATATTGAAAATTAATTAAATCAGTCAATCAGACTGTGTGGGGGTATTGAAAAAAGGGTTAAAAAAACATTATTGCACACTTCAACTTCAGTTATTACATTGGCGTCATTTGTGTAAACAATTTTTTTGAAAGTTTGCTATAAAAGTTTAGGCCACCTCTATTCTCACCCCAGGTGAGAATGCACAGGCGAGTCTTTTGGCTATTCTCACCCGATGTGCGTTCACTAGCCTAGGGCTAGGCCAACTAGTGTAGCGTTCACCCTGAACCACAGAATTCTGCACTGTGATAACAGAATTGTAAAATTCTGTGCCGTGAACAAACGTTCCATTACTACTGTTAGCCTGAAAGCATGCAATTTTGTTTATGTGGGCAGTGGAGAGAAAGTGACAGAGAGGAGTAGCGCAAGAACTTCCGGGCAAAACAAAATGGCGACCCGCGTGGCTTGGCTCGATTCGAAAAGTTAAATAGCCGTAACATCTTTGTAGACGACAAAATTAATTTACTTTTGTGTTTTAACATCATTTTTTAAACTTTGTTTTGGTCAATTTGATCGAACACACCCATAGTATTCAGAAAGAGACAGAGAGAGAGTGGGGGGGGGGGGGAGGAGTAGATCTTGCGAGAACTTCTGGGTAAAACAAAATGGCGACCCGCATAGTTCGGCTCGGTTCGAAAAGTGAAATAGCCATAGCATCTTTGTAGACGATTAAATTAGCTTACTTTTACTTTTGTGCTATAATGTCATTTTTTCTGTGCTTCTCTATCAATTTGATCATCCACACCGATAGACATTATTCCGAAATTAGGAAAAACAGGTCTTGTTTCACACCGGGTGAGAAAAGCCAACCCTGGTAATTCTCACCCAGGGTGGCTATTTTCCAATAGTTGTACCGGATGTGAAATAAGCAACCCTTAGCTGTCAATCATAGACTTTAATCAATTCATTCATTTATAAGTAGCTTTTGCCACAATTAACCGACTTGGTCGAGTCTGTATTAACATATTCGTTGATGCCATCTTGCCATTTCTCTTGTAAACACTACTACCAAACTAGGCTGTAGATTACACAAACTGCCATGACAAAATATTCTGGCTATCGATGGGGGTCGATCTCAGTCAACGTTAACAAAGGCGGTACTTTGTTTTGATGTTACCCTCCAGTCTGTTTTAACAAACACCACAGTCGTGTGGGTCACTCCGCCTAAGCGACGGGTGAACACCTCAACAAGTCGCTGAATCTGCATGATTCAACCGCCCATTCGCCACCAGGTTGCAAAACTAGCTCTTGGGTTGAATCTTCAAGTGAAATTGGGGACTGGTGTGAATATAGGCGATTGATTTACTGGAGGATTGAAACACTTTGCAGTAATCTTTCAAACTCAGGATTTTAACATGGTGCACAAAGACATAAAGGGATCAAAAAGGGATTTTCGGAAATTTTGTCACTTAGGCAATTGAATCACGAGGCTAGCGATATATTTGTTGGAGAAAACTCTCCTTGTCTTTTAAAGAAACTAAACAAGGGGCTAAAACTTTAATTTCGATTTTCTCAAAAGAGCATTTTTCAGGATAGCCCCCTTGTGCTGAAAAACGATCATTTATGTTAAACTCATGGGTCTTCAGAAAAAATGAATAGTTTTCACTGGAAAAGAATTTGAAGCTGGTTGTCACCTTGCAAAAGTTGTCAAATGAAAAATGTATTGTGTGGTGTGCAATTTGACCGTAACTGGTTTTGAGTTTTTAGTTTTTTAGTGAAAAAAACCAATTGGTTATATTTATTATATCTAAAATAAAATGAACTGAAATAAGCCCACTTTAACTCTCTAACAATACACACTATTTTTTATAGAGTTACAATTGTGATGTAATGGGTTTATATGCAGTATAACTAATTGTGTTTTCTCTTTCTCTTCATTTTATTCCATCAGTGCTGTGGGTAAGACATGTCTTCTTATCAGCTACACTACCAATGCCTTCCCCGGAGAATACATTCCAACTGTGTAAGTTTTTGAGTGATGTTTTTTGTATCTTATGTCTTATTTTCACCAATGTGGTTGACTTCAAACATTCTGTGCGTAACATTATAATGGGATTGCTTGCTGCAACACAAAGCTTGCAACAGTCTAACATGGAAAGGAAAGGGTATGATCCTTCACAGGCAAGTAGAAATGACATTTTATTCACTGGCTTTAAGTTCGGAAGTCTTTGTCTTTTGACTGTAAGAAGAGTTGTTTACTCTGTAGAAATCAGTTACTTTTGTTTGACTCTGCAGCTGCATCAAAGCAGTGGCTTCACTGTCTCTTGGGGTTATGAGTGAATTAAAAGCAGTACAGGGTTTAGACTCTGTCGGGAAGCAAGTGCCAGCTCAGCATTGTTTTGTATTCAACCATTAGCAACTACATACATCCAGGGCTATCCCTGCCATGCACACATTGTGAGGCGTGCTGAGTTACTTCTCTCAATTCTTAAATGGAAATATTGTAGACCTGGACGTTTTCAATTTCCTGATTTCCGGCAATCGCAAATTGGGTGCGAGAGTCGGATGCCGGCCTATCGCCGAGCCTGATTTCCGCCCAACTTACGATTTGTGAATGCCGGCAATCAGAGCAAACATTCCGCCAATAATTGCCTGAACTTAAGGAAAAATGCGCTAGTGAATTGTAACAACTTCTTGCCACAGGTCGTGTGCAGCGGTGTGCTTGGAATCTTCGTCTTGTTATTAGTGGCGGTGTTTATAAATGAACCCTAGGCTTTGCACGGTATCTGTGAATCAAGTGTGGACTAGATCTAAATTTGATTGTTGTTTTCTAATAACATGTGTACAGTCGAACCTGTGTAAGACGGAATCGCAAGGGAGCCAGAAAAAAATTCCGTCTTAGACAGGGGAATTTTGGGGGAGATGGAAAGGGGGAGTTCAAAAGCCCAGCTGGTGGGATCAAGGATCGCTAGCCCGATCGGCTAGCAGTGGTCAAAACTTCACACCTCTCAGCTGCTATCCTGTCTGATAATGACATGCGTCAGTGTTACTTATCCAATTACCACCTGTGCTTGCCTTTCGTAGGACCACTATTTGACCTATTAAAAACAGGAACGTTTGAACATCCCCTTTGCTTCCACCCGTACCCCCACGCATCGGTGTAACAAGCACAGTCAAACAATGTAGCAATGACCTCGAAAAACCTTTTTTTGCCAGAAAGTGTTTGCAAATAGGTGCATTTTGTAGCTTTATCTTCACCAAGCATGGAACTTTTTGAATTTTTTAAATCCATCAATAAACAAAAAAGTTAAGGATTTTTTAATCAATTAATTTCTGGTACACTTTTATATAATGAAAAAATCCCAAAATATGGGACGTTCTTTGGTGAGTTTTGAGACAATATTCGTCATAACTCGCTCATTTCTCGGAGTATTTAAAAGAAACTTGGCAACCCAGTACATTTTCTAGTGCAGAATCTAGTCCTGCTTTCAGATTCTTCATAGCTATCCTATTTTTTGAGTTATGAAGACGTTTATAGGTAAAAATGTGACGGTTTTCGGTGCGTTTTGAGACAATATTTGTCATAGCTCGCCTATTTCTTGGAATATGTAAATGAAACTTGGCAGTCTAGTACATTTTTTAATGCAGAATCTAGTCATGCAGTCAGAATTTTAATATCTGTCATACTTTTTGAGTTGTAAAGACATTAACAGGTAAAAAAGTGGTGTTCTTTACAGATTTACAAAGATTATCAGTCATATGTTCTCCCAAAGTCATGATATTTGAATGAAACTTGGCAACATAAAAGGTTCCTCCTTGCCAAGCAATGCTCTGGATCAATTTGTCACAAAAATGTAAATAGAGAGCTGGATTTATTAGTCTAATAAATCCAGTTCTCTACTAGTAAAAGCATGCATACTTTGTTATAGAAAATAAGATCGTCTCTGTGTATATCCATTGTTGGACAGTGTCCTATTGTGTGGTAGATTAAGTTTCGTTCAGATAATATAGTTTACAAGTCATGGGAATATTTCGCATGTGTAGGCTACAACTCATACAATAAATGTAACATATTTACACACACACACACACACACCCCCCCCCCCCCCCCCCCCCCCCTTCTCTCTCTCTCTCTCTCTCTCTCTCACGCGCGCGCACAAACACACACACTCACGCACGCACGCGTGAACGATAACAATGTATAAACGGGACTATCTTCCCAGACTTGACTAAATAAGTACCATAGGCCTACTCTTTAATAACAATCTTAATGCCTCACTTTTCCAAACAGAGCGCACAGGACGAGTCCAAGTGTGTGGTTTCCCAAGAGGGGGGAATACGCTTTCATAACGCAAACACAATGCCATACCAGTTCTCAAGATGTTTGCTTTTCTATTTCTATTCTTCTGTCATGCAATCAAGCAAATATAAATGACTACATCTATTGTATTGTGACTAAAATGCAACACAAACGCAAGTTATCAGGGCCCCCGTTTAGTTTTCAAGTATCCTCCCCCCCCCCCCTTTCCGGTTTACATAAGCGGGGCCTCGTTTGTGGCGACCGATGGCTGATGACGTCACTCAGTGGAAATTTCCCAGCCGCAGGTCGTTCGCAAATGGCAATGCTGCTTTTTCCCTTAGTTACTCCCACATTTTTAAAGATTACGCAAAAACGGCTTAACACAGAAGCTTAAAATTTTAAGGGAATAAAGAAAAATGGTGTACACCATATCAGTCAGTTTGACAAATCACAGCTCCGAAAAATCTTCAAAGCGCACCACATCAACCACTTTCGCAAACGTTTTCGACTGCTTCTAGGATGGGTACAATGTTGTCAAACTGCATACTACTAGATTGACCTCTTTTCTGATTGGCTGCCAAGTTTCATTCATATCCATTCACGAGAAGCGGCGTGAGAGCGAGTTGAAGACAACAACCTTTGCGTTAGTGCGTCCCGTGAAACACCCCCGCTGCGGGGGCCAAAAATCGGCAGAACAAAACGCTCTCGGTGGGCATTGCTAAACAATGCCATCATGTAACTACGATTCCAGGAACTCTTTTCTCAGCTGGCCATACGATCAGGGCGGCAGGCATTGGTCAAACTAATTTCACACCTCTGGCTTCTGGGTACCCAGGAAAGTTTCCGTAGTGGCTCACTACTCGAGCACTCTCACGGGCAGTCGTGAGATTTCACACCCACACTACACTGACCATCTGCATGATGGGGTAACATCTACCCCCAAATTGCACTCCTACTACCCTTCCTCGCTTTGCGGCATGGCCATGGCGTTAAGTTTAGAGCTGGCGGAACCAAACTTGCGAGTTTTGTTTCAAATCAGGGCTGAAGGGGAAAGCATTTTCCATCTTAGACAGGTGAAACCATCGGAAGGGAGCAGATTTTTCTTTCCGTTTCCGCTTTGGACAGGTTTCCGTTTTATACAGGTAATTAAAGAGAAATAAATCAAGGGGGGAGCGGGGAGATTCCGATAAGACAGGTTTCCGTTTTATACAGGTTTCCGTTAAGGCAGGTTCGCCTGTAGGTGTAGTTCTAGTTTCTGCATTGTTGAAATATTCTAGATCTATGAAGATACGTTTGTTAAAGAAAGGTACCGTACCAAAAGTCCAATTTTGACCATTTTGTGTTAAGGGTTGTACCTTATAGGAAATTCAATGCAAAACACAGTGGTCTTTGAATTTTTTAGATATCTCGTAGTTTTTTTTAGATATTGCACATTTTGCGAGGTAGGGTATAAAAAATATAATTTTGAAAAAATGAGCTTTCAAATTTAATACACGTGAGAACACACACAAACTTGGAAAAGGCTATTTTTTAAATGTATTTATTCACGGAAAATTCATTTCCAATTTGGCATTCAGTTGACTTGAATATCACGAATGGAATTCATTGTCAATTCAATGGTAAAACATAGCAGTGAAGGGATAATGTGCTTCAAGAATAGATTTTAATACCTTTTAAAAGCAGTTTTCATTATTTGTTTTTATTATACCCTACCCTCAAAATGATGCAAAGTAAAATATTAAGAAGTCAAATCAATGAAAACCCTTTTAGCACATTGTAAAGAAATGGTGGATCTGTCATCATTTTTTAATGGAAACACATTTGGTCAAAAAAGGGATTTTTGTCATTATCAGCCTGTTGCTCGAAATGGTCTGGGGCGACTTTTGGTACCTTCGTTTAGGCGCACACACATATATCATTAGAACGTCTAGAATCTAGATCTAGAGATTAGACTGAGCAGTTCATTGAATTGAACGGCTACAAAGTGAAAGCGATCTCACCAGCCTTCCCTCTAACAATAAGAAACAAAAGAGATGGTAGAGACAGTTGATGATCAGGGGATTTTGCTCGCAGGATGAAAGGTACAGTATGGTGAGTACATTTTTTATTTAGCTTATAAATGAATCCTCATCTTAATTTTAGGTGTGTAAACACAATGTTAATGTTTATCAATATAAATTGGATATTAGAATAATTCAAGGAAAATGTGCCAGGAGATGGGGGTTTAGGTATTGGTTTGGAAGAAAATAAGGTGAACAAAATTCCAAATGTTAATGTTAATATAAATTGATATATTTTAGGGAAAATGTGCCGGGAGACGGGGTTTTGTGCTTTATAATGGTGATGAAAATGCCCTGGGTTCAGAGGGACTTTCTGACCCTGTACCAGGGCGCAGCCCTGGACCCGATGCATTCATAATTGTCAGGCAATTATGCTGTGCCTTGCATCCAGGTCTAATATTGGCCAAAAATCAACACTTGGGTCAAATTTGTAGATTTTCAATTGATGCCATTCTTTAACTTTCTATAACATGTCTTTCATTATTTCATACTAATTGATTGTCAGAACTTCACAGGCGTGATCTTTTTACTTAATTATAAGGCTTGAATCTGAGAAGTAACCTATTTTGTCAGCACGCGTCACCATTGCTTTTTATCTCCAGCTCCTCAAAATGTGTAATTACGTATTTTAATTTTTCACAAAGTTAAAGCGGCTTTTGTAAATTAATAGCTGAGCAGCGGAAATTGTAAACACACAGATACTTACTGAAACAATGTATGATTGAAAATACCAAGCTTCTAATTCAAACTATCAACAAACCAATGGAAGAAACACCCATCACAGTAGAAAATAAAACATCCATTTGGAATACTGATCATACTTTGAACTAACGGAGTCACTTCCAGTGTTTTGGAAGAAAACCATGGCATCCTCATAGTGTCATCAGTGACTCAGCAAAACAGAACTAGCTCATTAGCTGGTGCTACCAGCCACTTAAAGATAAAGGCGTAGCTGCCATATAAAATGTATTTTGAGGGTTTGTTTAGGAAGTCTGTTTTTTTGTGCCAGCATCACGTTATACCGTTTACCTTGGGGCGAGCATGAAGTTGGTGGTACAGCGGGGCTGGCAGTATAATCATAGTGGGGTAGCACTGAATGCCAGCTTGACTAGTGGTAGAGTCAAATTGTGACCAGAATTGACTCACCTAGATCTGCCATGATGGAAAAACAAGTAGCAACAAATTACATGTACAGGTCCAGTTGAACTTCATGTAAATTCAAATAGAAAATTCTGCCGTATCAGAAGCTATAAAGCTATATATATATATAAGGCGCCAAAGGCCCTTTAGACGTGCATTTTTTTAACCAGACTCTCATCAGTTCTCGGGCCACTTCAGATCTTTCACATAATACTGTGAGTCCTCACAATATAAAAGCCTCATGGGCACCCGCCAGCCTTTTGAGCATCAGGCTGAATCATGGAATGTCTTACGTACGATGTCAAATATTTTGCCGACAGGCCGAAGTGGCACAGATCCTTCGAAGTTTCTCCTGGCAACTTTCTAAGTTCATTCCACTTTTTTACAAATAAATATTGGCCAAACCCTTTAAAAAATAGCTTTTTCGTAAACGCGCAAATCAGGAGCAAATCCTTGACAAATGATAGAAATGGGCAGAACTAGTCGAGGCTACAAATGTACTATGGATGGACAAAGTACATTTTTGTGGAATTTTATTTGCTGTTTTAAAAAATCCTTTTATTGAAGTAAATGTCAAAGGTTCCTCTAGATTCTTCCTTGCATTTATTACTCAATCATTTCTGTTACAGCTTTGACAACTACTCTGCAAATGTTATGGTAGATGGCAAGCCAATCAATCTTGGACTATGGGATACTGCTGGACAAGAGGACTATGATCGTCTCAGACCCTTGTCATATCCGCAAACTGTAAGTACTTCTGGCTGTTCATCCTTAGTACTGATAAGTTCTTAATTTTATTAGTACAATTTTTCTTGCCTTGAGTTGTTTCCCTGAATCTCTTTGCTCATTCAAAGGAAAGCTTGAAGATTTTTGATAAGGAAGTTATTCATGCTTTGTTCATAGTTGTAGCTAATGGTAGTCTGAAATTCTGAAAAGGCTTGGACTAGCCGGAGTTAGTCGCTGATAATGAAATGCAGGGCCAGGATTGTCTTATAAAAATATTGAACAGACTTCTTCTTCATTCAAGCACTTTTGTTTCTAGGAAATGTCATACCTTTTATTTATCAAGGTAATGGCATCTTTATTCGAGAAAACTCAAGAGATAAAGAAATGCATGCACTGTTGTTTTTAACTTAATTTTGTAGAAATTGTCATAAATACAACTTAATTTTCCAAAGGGTCTGGTTATGTTCACGGTGTGTAAATTTTGCTTGCTTACTCACTCACTACCACACCCGCAACTGTTGCGGGTAAAGTAGCTTTGACGTTGTGATACCACACCCGCAACCCTTGCGCTTTCGCACTTTGGAATTATTATTTTTACGTTAAAACCGCACCGTTCGCGGTACTGGTTTGTGTTTTTCGTAGCCCACACAATTATCTTTCATTAGAAAGAAATGAAATCGAAATCAGAGGAGGGCAAGTTGAGTTATTGATTTTTCCAACAACCTCCCTTAGAACTGAATTTACCATTACATTTCCCACAATGGCAGCTCGCTTGTCTTTGACAGTTTTTGAGCAATTTTTTAAAACTTGTGAAAAAAGAAGTAACAACAAATAAAGCTGGTACACAAGGGATAGCAACCCCGAAAATGGCTGGTAGTGAGTGAATTAAGAAAAGAGCTTTTGATAATGTTCGTGCAACCTGGTGTTATGTTTTATTTTTCATCTCTATTTCAGGATGTCTTTCTTATATGTTTTTCCTTGATCAGTCCTACAAGTTTCGAGAATGTTCGAGCAAAGGTAAGATGAAACTTGTTTTCCTACAAGCTGTAGTCCCTTTTTGTTTTTCTGTATGAGCTCTCTTGTTGGTACAGTGGAACTTGGATTCAACGGAGTCGTCGGGCGTGACCTTTAATTTAGTTGAATCCGAGTGTTCGTTATAGCAAACATGAGGTTTTTGTTTAGATAATTACACTACAAGCACCCAACAAGTAATATATATAATGTATTCGACTTTCTCAATCTTTACTTTACTACTTTTAATTTTCCGATCCAGCGGCCATTTGGGTTCCAGCCCTTCGGGCTGTCGATATGACAAAGAATTTAGAGGTTTTTAACAGCTGTGTTTTGTCACTGTATGATATTTCCGATATCTGGGGAGGCAGGTAGGTGGGTGCGATGCAGGTTGCTAAGTGCAGGGCAGGTAAAGAGATGGTGTGATACTGTTTCATCCTGGCAGTCGCACAACAGGCAGGCAGGTGGGGTATCCTTGCGGATCAATTTAGGTAGGGATTCATCGGGATGTGCTTTGATCGCAGGCGAAAGATAGTGACTTGTTCTCTTCTACTGGGGGAATTTAGTGCATCTTTTGAGTTGGAAGCAGTCATGTGTGCTAATACAGCTCTTTTAGCTTTGCCCAATGACCATTCACTCAGCCACTGTTACCTGGTGTTGCATTTGATGATGTTCTTGACTGTCTGTTGTGATTCTGGGTTTTGAGGTTGTGTTTGTGATGCTCCCGTCTTGGCAAGGGTGTCTGCTCTGTCATTTCCTGGGATGTTACTGTGGCCAGGTATCCACTGTAAAGTCAAATTAACAGCATAGGTCTGCCTGAAGGTGTTAATTGTTTGCGCCACAGAGAAGCAAGCTGGGCTTTTAAAATTCATGTTTTCCCAAGCTTGGAGTACTGATTTTCCGTCTGTGAAGGTTACAGTATCCTTGATATTGTCTGGGTATATATTGAAAATATTGGTCAGGTGGAGGATTGTTGCCTCAATCAAAAGTAGTTTGGTTTCAAATGAGAGGCATTTTCATTTCTTTGATGCCATACCGGGCCGTACCGAAGAAATGCTAGAAAATTCCAGGAAAATACACTAAACTCGTCTAAGCACATACTGTGCGAAAGGGTCAATTCATTCAAATGCACGCCTGTGTCATCTATCATCTATAACATATTGCTAGTCAAACAAGTTCTGATGCTGTGTAGAGCTTACCTTCCGGCAACGCTTGATTCCACAGTCCAGCACGCAATTTATTACATAGGCCTGTGTCAAGACTAGCTTATCATTGTAATATTGATCAGTAGCCGGGGGGGGGGGGATAACTGTGAAGCGTTTGTATCTCAACTGACATTCCATGCTGGACCGCTTGCACCCCCTCCCCACAGACACATGCACATGCAGTTACACATGTGCTGGCCGCCTGTCCAACCCCGGCACACACAAAGACATGTGTGCGTGCTAACAACACGTGTGTTGGTATGAAAGAAGGTTACTGATTGGTCGCATAAGATGTATAAACAATAGGCTAAGAGAATAGTGGTTCACGATGCAGGTGCCATGGATGGTTTTCACTAACAGTAACGTAAATGAGTGAATCCGTCTCAGCGGAAGTTGTTCACTCTGAAAGCGACTTCGTTGAAACCGAGCTTGGTCATTTGTGTGTTTGTTGAATTCGAGTTATTTTTAATGATTTTTTTTTAAAAACGGATAGACCTGCATGTTTGCCAACAATCATCTGAAATCCGGTCGGCTTTGGCTGCACTTTCACTTTCGTGCAAACGTTGGTGTTTCCAACACAATTGTCGAAATCTGAGTAGAAATACAGGTCTACTTTCAGTTTCGTGATCGAGCGGCCATTTTGAATTTCATCTGTTGACCGATTGTTCGGATGTGGATTCATTCAAGGCCTACTCACTTGTTCTAATAGATCTAGATTTATATTATAGACCTCCATGGAGGATTCATATTCCAACTCTGCCGTCTTGGGGGAAAAGGGACGAATATCGCGACATACCCATTTTTGAGGAGGGCCAAAAAATCAAATTTATTCGTCTCACGTTTCAAAAGTTGGTATTTTATTTTATTTTTAACTTGATTTTTAGCAGGAGGAAGGATGGTGCAATTATGCACTTGTAGTTAAAATTTTGTGTGAGAAGACAAAAGTCATTCTTTCATAACAGATTGATGATGTTTTAATTAGTTTTGTATGGAAAAGGACGAATGGCGATATTTGTCTTTCTTTCACCCAACATCAAATAACGTCCTGGAATTTTCAGAGATGCCAACCAGTACGATTTTACGTATTTTAATACGATTTTTTGCCAAAAATACGCGAATACGACTTTTCATGAAAAAATATGTATTCTGTAATGCGAAAAATACGAGATTCAGCTTAGGCGAGTAATCCAGGGCTTCCAGTCTTCCGCAATTTTGCTGATTTCCGCAAATTAGTAGATTTCCGCAAATGGAAAAATTTCTGTGAAAATTCGTGCCCAAAAAAAAAAAAATTATTTTCAAAAATGCGAAATAAGAATTTTCCGTTATTTCCAATAGTCAACAATAGCCAACCCATACAGGAAGTGCTCTTTTATTTGAAAGTGTAGACAGTGTCTTCTACTTTCACTTTCTAAAGCACAAGAAGAAGCAGAGCACCAGCTCTGTAAACAAGAGGAAGAAATGACGATTGTGGTTCAATAGATCTTGGGCCTGCCAAGAAAAGAAAACTCTAAAGAGAGCTTGTTGGGTTTTTTTTACCAGACTTGTTTTGTTTATTTGTAGATCTAAGTATTGTTGTGGATTTAAGTTGAATATAAGCTGTCAAGTTATTTAGATCTAGATATAGATCTATATCTAGAAATCAAGTCAAGCTGTTATATATAAAAAGCTATTATTGTAAGAATTCTACACCTTATGCTGATTATGGTGCAAACCAACACAAGCAGAAAAAAGTTAAACATTAACTGTCAAGTTTTATAGATCTATTCTAGTTGTGGATGTACAGTATCTGTACAAGGGAGAAAGCATGGCTTTGGATTTGGAAATATATGGATTAACACAAGCAGAAAATTATGTAGGCCTATACAAGGTATGGTTTTTTTTTGGTCAATTATTTTCTAATTAAATTTAGGCCTGAATAGCCAGAAATGGCATACTTACGATGCTCTGAAACCAAAAATTCCAAAACAGAAAGGGGACGCTGTCCCCCTTCAACCCCCTGCCAGGGCTCTGCCCTGGAGGGCTCTACCCTGGACCCGAAAATCCTCAAAAAATGACATCAGCCGCTGGAAGCTCTGGTAATCCTAATTATCTCAAGTCCTATCTTTTGTCAAAATAGTTTCAGTTTCGCGGAACTGGAATATTTGAAAACCAAGTCCGATGAGGTCAGTAAGTTCAATTTTACCGGTCGCGATTGTGATATTATATTCGTTCAGCTTTTCCCCGTCCGAGAGTATGTTTCACTTTCACGTGGACAGGCGGCCGGCGGAAGTGTATGTGACACCGAGGCTCGATTGGGAAAATCAAGATCTACTTTTGCTTTCGTTACCACCCAGAAGTTTGCCAGCGGTAGTCTGATAACGCAACATTAGTGACATGTAGGTTGTGTAGTTTAAACGCTGAATCACCGTGCAAATAAAATTTAATCAATACTCCGACTCGTCTCTGTGCTGTCACTTGTGTGAAAAAAAGAAAAAATACAAGCGTCATCCGATTTTTAGATTGTCTGGCTCGCCATTGTGACAGGTCAGTGACCCTGCGCGCATTCGCATCATAAAAATACAGCATCGTGTGAGCAAATACTGTCTTTGGTGGGAGAGACGTGGCCAAGTATAGGACTACGGAATAGGGGAGGGGATTATTGATTTTTTTTTCTAAAGATACACTGGGGGGGGGGGGGGGGGGGGGGGTGAAGGCAACACCAGACACCAGAGGACAAAAACTTGGAAGCAATTTCAGTATTTTGATTAGAGCTCTCTGCAAAGCGCGCGTCAGTGCAGGCCGTGTGTGGAATCGGTACCCTTCATACTTTGCAAGTCTGTGTTATTGAAATAAAGTGTTCGCGTTTCCTTGGATGGGTGATAGTAAATTATACATCTACAGTGTATGTTGTAGCTTTCTGTTCAAGACAGGCAGATTTTCAGTGTCACTGCATCTTGACCTCCCGCAGTTGTTACAACTCTCACACTGCGTGGGTCTACTTTAGCCATTCAAGTTATTGCTCTTCTCTGAGTTTGAGCAATAATTTTAGCCTGTCAGTTCATAACATGAATCTTGACACTCAGAGCAGGATTAATTTTTTATATAATAATGAGACGAAAATATTATAATAGACTGAAATACTTAAGTCAAACAAGACCCCAGTACGACACTGAACACTAACATGTTGTTGACTGGGTATGTATATTGTACGCGTGTGTGCTCCCTTTTTCGAGCTGGTGAGCTAGTAATTTTTTTTCAGGAGATATTGCTGGACACCCTGAACATTTTACTAGTTGGTCGGTCGGTCTTTGGGAATACACATTTTCCCCTGAAAGTAAACATTTTCACATTTCCCAATACTTATTTCGGTGTTCTGTGGTTGGCATCTCTGAATTTTCGTTTCTGTGATATTTGAGGTTCGTCTGGTTTGTTGTAAGTGTTTTGGGGTTTCCAGACTGTTATTTAATTTCGCTTTGCCGGTGGAGCCAAAGATCTGGGGTTCAAATTCTGGTGAGTGTACACAAGCAGCCGTGCTTGTCGTCTTATTGTGTGCAACACACTTGACACAGCGAGGATCAAAGCTGGATATACCAGGATTTGAGCCTTTTGGTATTTAATCATAAGACCTGTGGCAATGTAATGTTTTGGCGAAGATGGACAAATATCGGTATATTCGTTGCTTTTTCGTAAACGGTTTTTTCTTTTCACTTGCTAATATACAGCTGAGGACGAACCTCTCGGTATTCGTCCTTTTTTCACAGTAGGACCGGATATTCGTCTTTCTTTCATAAAATATAAAATAAATTAAAAAGAACAAATTATGACGATACTTCCAATACCAAAATAAAGTATTCGAACATTTCTAAATGTAATGGCCTCTGGTTTAAAAAATGTAGCTTTTTATGCTCTTTCACATGGTATCGATATCTCTATATCACCCAATTTCCGATATTCGTCCTTTTTTCCTAAGACAGCAGAATTCTATTCAAGTGTCAAACCCTATTATAGGTTGTGCTGTAATGTTAATGTTGGTAAAACAGCATTTTATCAGGTGCGTAAATTTATCACTAATTAGTAGATAGACTCAGCTGAGTTCATCTGTTTGGGTGCGGATTTTGTTCAAAGCCTATTCCTATTCACTTGTTCTTCTAGATCTAGATTTATCTGAATTACAATATAGATTATAGAGGATTTATATATTCCATTTCTAGTGTGTTTTTGTATCAAACCCTATTGTAGCCATGTAGTCATGTAGGCCATTAAATGCTCCTTGTTTGTTTGGGGTGTGGATTTTTTTTTTTCATTTTGGACTTAAGCTTTCTTTTTCACATTTCTGAAGGTGAAGGGCCGTTGCAGGTTCTTTTTTGGGGGGCTGATGCCCCCATCATCATGTACCTCTACATGTGCTGTTATTTTGAGGGAACACTTCCATAACGGACGAGCGCCCACTAGATCTATGAGACAAAGTAAAATAGAGGGCTACTTTTAAGGATATGGGGTAGGAGTAGGGTTATGGTTTGGGTTAGGGTTAGGTCTCTTCTTTATTGTGTTTGTTTGGGTGGTCTCTCGTTACACAGAAGCTCTTTCTTTTATAACACCCACAAAAAAGCTCTTATGGGGGGGGTGCGCAAAATTTTCAGACAATCTGGTTGAGGCTCACATGCAGGTCTGATTTTAGAGTGAAATCGAATTATTAAAAAATTTTATGTTTTTTAGGAAAGTTGTTTTAGATTGAAAATATATATTTACACCGAATTTTAAATATTTTAACATTTTTACGATCTAACTACTGACCCGAGCCCAGCCGTACAGTGAACTGTTTCGAATAAAACCAACTTGTGTTACGCGCTCTCATATGACCTTATGCAGTTGCGAGCGCCGTAAAACCCCATACTAAACTTTTTTTTAAACTTACTTGTTTGGGTGTTGCCTAGATTGTTGAATTTTTCAATGTAGTTTTACAAAAGTTAGTGGCACTGTTTACCATACCAAACTTGTCATAATTTTGTGGATTCAAGAAAAAATCTTTTTTCTTTACAAAAAATAATAAATTTCAGGCATATGTTATGGGTTGTATTTGTTTGAGTGTCTGCTGTTTTACATATCATTTTGGCTTTTGTTATATTATATGTAGGGGTGGGCATAATAATATTTTCATTGTTGTTGTATTTCATTATTAACTATAATTGAATTTGATTTTAATTTTGCGAATTGAATAATACAATGGGTTATCTTCTTTAATTATAAGTGCTTCAAAGGGTTTTTCAGGGTTTTTAGTGTACCAAGGGGAAATTTTGATATTGTATAAAATCCTATTATTCTTTGTTTTATTGATGTTTTGTCTATGTTTCAGGTTTTAATTCCAGTCTGATTCTTTTTTTTTTTTCCCCATGCTTTTGCTTTGACATCAGTTCTAATTTGGTAAGGCCATGAAGACCTGAACATTACTCTCCTTCTTAATTTATTTTGGTCTCTACTCTTTCAATTTCCCTTTCTGGCTTAGTTTTCTCATTTTATGTTCCTGCCTTCCTCCTTGTCTTTGCCTTTTTATTCTAGTGGTTGGAGTATAAGACTGGTGAACCTTACTTCTTTACTACCTGTCTCTTGTTTCTGCCTGTTGTCTGCTTGTTTGTTTTTTGGGGGGGTTTCCATAATACAAAATTTGTCGGCCTTTTCCGGGCGCTTTAATCATACAGTACTTTCTGGTTCTTTTTCCAGTGGTTTCCTGAAGTGAGCCATCATTGCCCTCATACCCCTATCATCTTAGTGGGTACCAAGCTTGATCTGCGTGAAGACAAGGAGACAATTGAGAAACTGAGAGACAAGAAGCTGTCCCCTATCACCTACCCTCAAGGGCTGGCCATGGCAAGGGAGATAAGTGCTGTGAAGTATCTTGAGTGCTCAGCCTTAACCCAAAAAGGGCTGAAGAATGTCTTTGATGAGGCTATTCGGGCTGTTTTGTGCCCTAAGCCTAAGCCAAAGAAGAAGAAAGGATGCGAAATTTTGTGAGCCGATTATTTGTTTGTTTTATGTTTGTGTAGGGTTTTGTTTTTGTTTGGGTTGTTTTTTTTTCATTGTAATCAGCATGTTAACTTTTACTACTGAACGTGGTGTACCATCAGCTCAGTGTCGGTTACTGTGTACAATTTTTAGAAATTTCGGCCAGAAGAGGAAGTCTGGCTTTAAGTTTAGCGCCTCTCTTAAGCCAACAGTACAACTGGCTTTTTATCATATTTTTAATCATGGGCATGCTTAGAGTATGCTGTTTGTAATATAAACTTTCAAAGTATTCTTCGGTGAATGAAAAAGCTTTTCTTTATGCTTGTGGTTTGTATGTTTTGATACTGAGAGAAAAAGGTATTAATATGTAGTTCAAAGAATTTCGTGAACTTATGTATTTTTCAGTTCAGAACAAAGGTCCTAATTGCTCAATACCAACATCACAATGTCTTGAGCGAACTTTCTTTCTGTTTAATTATATTATTCAGCAGTTAGCTAAGACTGGATTTATAGTGTAACGTGTGTCTGTCCAAGTGTGTAAACAAATCATATGTTTTTTGAAGTACTGATTTAATAATTAAGGAGTGTTAAAATAAAACAAGTTAGTTAGAGGGACAAATCAAACCTGAGCTGGTTCCAACTGTCTTTGTAACAGTATTTGCTTGAATGGTTAGAAGATGGTTCTCGGCTTATGTTTGATATTTAGTTATCATTTCATATATCAAATGTATGATTAGTTGTAAATTTCATTTTAAAATCTATGAGGATGAAAAGTCAGTGTATCTCTTATTCGCATCAATTTTTATTTAACCTGTCAGGTAAGAGAACAACTCTTGGTCGTAATTTTTTAAGATCATTATTGAGTACTAATCTATGACAGTATGTTTTGGGGTACTTTTTTTTTCCTTTTTTTTTTTTTGCACAATGTATTTTGTGAATAAGAAAGAATTTTTTAAAGTTTCTTATTTTCTAATTTTTCATGTTGCCTATACCACTATCAAAATATATTAGAATTGTGCCTCACAGAGTTTTTTCTCACTGTGGTTTTATTCAGCGCATACAAAATTTGATTTACCCTTGGGGGGGGGGGGGGTTGTCATTGCGATAGCTGCATGACTTGCAAGTCACTGAGAATTTTTTTGCATTCTGTTATGCCGGATAGCTGTTCTTGATGTAGTGTTGTAAAGATCATGGCTCATATGCTGGCTGCTTTGATTTACTTCTTTTTGGTTCGTTCAGTCAGAGTATAACACGGTATAATGTTTGGAAAGTTTAATTTTGCTATTTTCAGTAGTTTGTGTACTGTGCATGGAAATAGTTTGACAGTGTGGAATTAGAAAGTCCACATCCTGTCAAGATGTTTTTTTATGCAAAGTATTGTTTGTTTAGTATTGATCCTTTGCTGCAACATTTCAGTGACTATGTCATTTATGTAGTGATGGAGGTGTTACAGTGGACGTCAGTATATATATATATATAAAGTATATGAAAAACACTTTTGTGGAGAGTTGCTCTCTTTCCCTTTGAAGCTTGTGAGGATCTCACATGTTCAAGAAGCAGTTACTGGATTAGAATGTGTGGCTGATAATTTCTCATTCTTTTATACATGGAAGGATGCTTCAGTTGTAATTTTTGTTGAAATGACTATTTTGGACAATGGACTAATGTTTTGAATCTTATATTGTTCAGAAAAGCTAGATCCTTTGATGCGATCTGCTTCTTTGTGATATCCTTGACTTTTTTCTGAATGTAGAAGTAAGAAATATTCTGTGTTTCATTGGTTGCCTTGTGTATTTAGGTTTCAGAAATTTGGTACTACTGAAGAAATTGCCTGGATGGGAATGTTAGAAGACAGCATTGACTTGGCTTAATTTGATTAGTTATCATGATGGTGGTTCCCAAAACTTTGTCAATTAAAGTTGAAACCCTGTCGAATATTTTGTCGTCTTGCTGTGATGTGTAAAAATATCACAAGCTGTGAAATAAAATTGTTATTCTACCAAGAAAATGAGACCTTTATCACCAAAAAAAACACGAATCACGTCAGTCAAAACCAATCAGAGTGCTTGAAACTGCTGTGAAATATAAAATTACAGTGTCTTGTTAGTTATGCACTGCATTCGTTTTTAATATTTATTAAAAATATTTTTGTTTCCCAAGAAAGTAACTATGGGCTCATGATTTTGATATTTTCAGGGCTATTGAAAACGTTTGTGGGGTGTTTTTTTCTGGCTGCTGCAGAAATCACCTCTTTTTCTCCTTTTGTATATATAACGATGCTTTTCTTTTTTGTATGATTGCAAGGTAAAATGAATGTTTAATCCATGCTACTGTGAGACCTGTTTGAAAGGAATTGTCTTTTTGTTTTAGCCCATTGACTGATTCAGGGGTCATTCTCTTGGGGGAGGGGGGGGGGTGACAGTTGGTATTTTCAATACTTTTGAAAGCTACTCATCAAGTGAGGCAGAAGACAATTTGAAAGAAAAAGAGAGAAAGAAAGCAACAAATTATAATAAGATAATTCTGTGTTATCTATAACGGTGATAAGTGTACCATATGTTGCATCTTTTGTAGATGTCTTGGATTATTTTAGCAAAATTTGAATTTACTCCCACTTTTCCGCGGAAACAAAATAAGCAAAACTGGAGGCCAAATATGCAGAATGATGTGATTCAGTATATATTTCTTCAAAATTGAAATGCAGGTTTCTGTGTGTAAGTTGAATCCTTGTCTTTTTCACTTCATGTTTGTTTGTGTATTATTTTGTTTTTATTTTGGGGTTTATTTGTTGTTGTTTTTTTACTTTACTCTGCCCTTATGCTTTTTCCCATACTGATGAAGTTTAGATGTGATATGCATTGTGGATTGATTGCAGTATTTAGATTGTGCTTTCAATTGAATTAATTGTGAAATGCAATTGCTCTGTCTTTGATAGACCCCAGTGTATTGTATCTGCTTTTTTTGTGCTGCTGTATCAGCCAGTTTTATGTTTTATTTTAGAATTAAACTGTTGATTCTTTCCTCATTTTCTGAACTTTATAGTTTTGTGCACTTTCCCATGAATTAGTAGGAGTTCCGAATTTCTGAGTGTCCTTTAATATGTTCCCTTTTTTTGTTGGTTAAGGTATTTTGTACTTGAAATTTTAAAAAAGGATGTTGCTAATCTGCATCGGAAATTTGTACTGTATTTGAAGCCACTGTTGAGGATTGAAATTCTTTATATATCCTTTTTTTTCATACAACCAAACAAGATTAAAAATTATGGCTGTGAGCTAATGAAGCCTTGATTGGTAGACACTGGCAAATTTTAGCTGTAAATTGTGGTTTTTGTATCAAGCCTTTTTTTTAGGCATTCTTGAAATACAGATGTAAACACAATCACAGACTGATTTTAATGGAAATAATGTATCTTTTCTAACTTGACAGATCATCCAATCAATTGTGATGGTCAGTTCCCAACATAATTTAGTCTTGCGTTTGGTCCATGGTAGTGAAATTCTGAATTGATACAGCGAATTGCTTATTTAGTGAAGAAATGCACTTGTTGGGTCTGAATCTCTCACAGTTGACTTTTTTGTTGTTTTTGTTTTGTTTAACCGAGTTTGAAGTTATCACTACTTTCATGAGAAACCAAACGTAATGGAGCCTGGGTTTATCAAATGTCTGTAGACAGGATGTCTCAGCTTGATGTCACATGGAAGACACATTCTTTTTATAGGTTATCTGCCTTGTCACTTAAATTTTGGCTTTCTATCTTGTTTTTAAATTGGAATATTAGTGCTAATCAGTTTTTTATTACGAGGTGTAACTTACCACAGTGCATTGTTACCAGGTGAAAAAAAGGTGTTGTGTTGGTACAGGCAAGATGAACAGAAATGTGCTTTTTCTTTAGTTGTAGTCATTTTCTGTTCACTTATCTTGGAACTTCAAGTAGCCTGTTCTTTAGATTTTTCTTGTTTTTTGTATCGGTAAGAGTAATTAGTAAAAAGCCTTAGACTCCTGCATTCATTTTGATCTGTTGGTTGAAGGTGTCAAACCATCTTTTCGTGATATGAAGTTAACTGTATCTTTGTAGACTGTTTATAAAGCTAAATGCCTTGAGCTAATCGCTGACTTGATTGTAAAGCATGCTTTTTATCCAAATAGTAAGAACAATGTAACTCACTTCATTTCCACTGCTTAACATGTTTATTATTTGGGATTTTTTTATTTTTTTTTTTTATTGTTAATGTTAAGGGATTTGTACAAAGTAGTATGCTCTTTTCTGTACTTTGATCATGTATTTCATTTCTATAACTCCTTGTCAGGGGCACAACATAATACTAAATCAATAAACTTCTACCTTTAACAAAAACTGGCATTGTTTGTTGTTTTCAGCTCCTTGAACTGTTTACTGTAGTGGCTCAACCGTTGCTTTTTAAACATAGTTGTCACTAGTCTGAGTTTGTTAAATGTTCTTTGTAGGTGGTTGGTGGGTGCTCTGGTGTGGTTTGCTCCTTTTTTCCTATCAAACATCTGTCGTCTTTATCTCCCCTCCATTTTTGTGTTTGTTAGTCCCTTGTAACACCTCTAATCTTCTGCACTTTTATGACCTTATTGTGTTGCAAGTGCTGCAAAATACTTACTTTGATCATTAGTTTTTGCTTTTTCTTTTCACTGAATGGCCATCAAGGTGTCAGTTTTCTTCTGTTTACTCAAACGAAACTAAACCATTGTTTTATTTTTGGGTCAGTAGGATTGATTTTCCCAGTCTCTCGGGTTGAAAATTCAGGGATAATGGGTTTGTCTCAATAGTAATGATCATGTGAGGCGTCGTGGTGAAACCAGACATTGATCAAAATGATGAAATCAAAGAAATCAGCATTTTTTGGGCTGATGGGCAATATTTTTTCTAATTTTCTTCTTTTTTTATTTGGCTCAACACCTTTTATGTCCATTTATAAATGCATTTTTGTGTGTATATTTACTGAAAAACATTGATTAAAGGCACACAAAAATGTAAATTTTCAGTTTCCAAGGACTCTTGGGCTAAATTTGCCTCTGAAACCAGGCGACCCTGACCAGAGCTGGTAGTAACGGAGTACAAGTACTCCGGTACTTGTACTTGCGTTACAATTTTCGGTACTTTTACTGTACTCCGGTACATTTTTTAAACCAGTACTTTTACTGTACTCCGATACTTTTTATAAAAGTACTTTTGAGTACTTTTTAAGTACATTTTGAATACTTTGGTAGCTTAATGAAAGGGTAAGTGCAGGCATTTCTGATCATAATTTACGGAGCAAAAACCCGATCAACCGCCAAGAGTTAAAAGTTGAGATCAAAGAACGGCCCGTCGCCTCAAAGATCAGCCACTCTCGTGAATGTGATCACAAGCGTTGTAAAACTCCATGAAACGGTAGTGTTTGCCCCAGACGGGATCACACCGAGGTGTGAACTGACCGATGCGTTTGTTTTCCCCTAACATCGCACTCGCATCTGAGCTCACCACCTAAACTTACATCACTCCCTGGGTGGGTAGGGCCTACAAGTTCGCTCCAGGCAGGATCACATCAAACTGTGAACTCTTCCCTGACCTTTGAAAGCAGTTTTTCCCGAATTTGCGAGACAACCTGAATTTTAATTAGTGTGGTCACATCGTAATGGTGCGTAATGACAAAGGAGGTTGGGGAGGGGGGGGGGACTCAATCAGAGATGGAAAGCTAAAATTGTTGGACAGGTAAAGGGGAGGGGCAACTGGATAAACGTAGATAAAGATCTCAAGACTCACGATAGGCTAATGAGTGTGTATATATAATATTATTTATGGCATGCCTCATGCCACTGTGATTGGTAATCAAGGTTGACCACTCTTTGCTTGCCATATGTCATAAATCCACCCAGGGGTCACGTCAGTTCATGGGTCACTGTAGATTCTTCCTTGGCTTCGTTGACTAATATCCCATAATTTTTTATTTTCCTTGCTTCCGAGCACTGGGGTCTTAGGCGGAGACTACTGCAGTAGAGAATCTTTGGTTACACTACACTTACTAGACTCTAGGAAACTATTGTATTTTGGTTTGCCGTTGGCGCCGTGGAC